ATATATATATATATATATATATATATATATATATATATATATATATATATATATTTATTTGTATATCCCGATATATATTTATATATCTATAGTATGTATACATAATACGAACGTTTTAGCGTTACAATCGAAGATGTCGAGTCAGTTCGGAACGCCGGCAGAATACAGACACTCTTCTCCGCCGGCAATCGTGCAATCGTTGAGATCATAGCGTGCGTGTGATTCTTTTCCTTTTTATGTATTTAAAATACGAGAGAAACGTAAGAACATTTGTCCACCTCCTCTCATCCTCCTGTCGTGGATTCTGTCGTCGTGTCTACTTCTTTATCCTTTCCCATCTCTACCGCTCGTCAGAAATGCCGCGTGTATGTATGTGTGTCTGTACGTGTGCTCGTGTATGTGCTGACCGTCGTCGTCGTAGTTTCTGTACATGATTTTAGAAAACAAGGATCGAGACCGGTATAACTTCGTTGAGTTCAATTTCCGACGTCTGCAGCTATACGAAGATATCTCACGACGACTCGACAGTCCTTTTTCTTCTCTCTTCCACGTACCTCAGTCCACTTGGAAATGATCTCAATGCAGATCAAGAGTTTCCACTCATCGATCAGAAGTATCGATACATTTCGATAAAATCATTATGCGTTAAATTGATTTCTGTATGCTTGTACTGGATGCTTGTGAATGTAAAGATGTCGTTTTCATCAACTTATGTCGAAGATGCATTAAGATCAGAGATCAGGTATAGCAGAACTAGATACAATCATTCTTCCATGCATATAATTTGCTTGTTCATGATCGATCAGCAGTATACATGAGATATTACGAGAATCCTCATCGCATGTCAGCATGATATGGAAATCCGAACACAACGAAGTTACAGCGGTTTCAATCCTTGGTAGAAAATAAGAGAAAAACGTTTTTCCTTTTTCTCTTCTTGTCTTTTTTTTTCTTTTTCGCTTTTCTTCATTTCCTTAACACTCGTTTGCTTAATTCCTTGAAACTACTTGCACGCGGTGCCGGAACTAGCGCTTCTAGGATATTAAAAAATACATCGCCTTTTTTTACTTTTTCACCGATGATCTCCTGTTTCTCTTCTTCACGTGACGCGAAGAGCTAACTACTTTGTTTCTCTCACCCACCTCTCCCCCGCGTCTCGCGCTTGCGAAAATAAATGTCGTTTCCTTCGTTCGTCGTCGTAAGGGGGGAGAGGGAGGAGAGGATGAGAAGAGTCGAGAATGAAAAGAGATCCGTCGGCCGAGACGAGAGAGAAGTCCGGATCGACCGACTGCGTTTGGCGAAGGTCGACACTGTGAGTTTTTAGCTAAATAGATTCCACTATCTCTCCTGAACTATGTATCAAAGATATAGCGTGGATATGATATTACTATAGAAGAAGCGAACGGAGAATCGGCCGATCCGGACTATCGATGTAACGACATGTGCAGAGGGTGCGGCGATTCTTGCGGGATTGATCCGGACGATGACCAGGCAGTTTCTTCGATTTAGAATATCGAACGCTTAGCATAAAAATGTTCCATACTTCTACGAATGTTTGAAAAGGGCAGTAGTTCCCGAGTTACAAGCAGAATTGAGAGTCAGACGTGAATATCCAAAAACTGGACGGCGTGATCTCCTTCAAAGAGAAAGAAGGAACGGCCAATGAGCGCTTTGCCACAGTTACCGCAAATATCGCGTCATAAAAAGTTAAATATATCTCTTTAACAAACGTTTCAGTTTTCTTGGTCTATTCCGTTCAATTTTAATTTTATTTTAATAATAAAGGCAACGCCAGCTAGATAAAGAGAGAGATAGGATAGATATTCTATCCATTTTAAACCATGTAATTGCTTTAACTGTTGGAATGTGTCAGAAATGCGCTCATTAGAACCGTCCAAGTTGTGTACTCCTTCATCTTTAAATACCAAAAAATATCCGACTCTTCTCTCGTTTCTTCGATCTCACTCATGCTGCATATGTCGATACGCGATTCAATCACGGCGGACGAGTCTCACTCTTGATTCCCGAATCCCTCTCGTTACGTTAATATACAAGATGGCGGTACGGTAATCGCTCTGGCACGTTGTGTCCTTCGGCTAGAGTGCCGAAGTCAATTGACGAAACTGAGTGAAGGTACGTTTGTTCTCTTAAAATACGGTTACCTGATCAAAAGCTCTCTCATTCTCTTTTCCTCTGTATCTCTCTCTCTCTCTCTCTCTCTCTCTCTCTTTCATCTATTGCTCGAATTCTTTTCCTCTTTCTTCACTTCGCTCTTTTTCGAGTCATCGCCCTGCGAACGTTTTCTCACCAAACCCCTCGAGGATCATTGACACGGATCGCGAACTTTTCTCATGCACACGGAAAAAAGTCGACGTCGCCGTTAAACAGCGCCACAAAATTTGGAAGAATACTTTAAAGCTGAATTTAATCAATAAATTGGTATATAATTTGTGTATAAATGTGATGAGATATCGAAAAAGATTTTGTCGAACGTGAGATACAATTTATATACGCTTTTTTCACGTCAACTTCTCGCGGGTGCGTCACTGCGAGATCAAAAAATTTCGTACGCAAAAAGGCTTTCCAAGGACTTGATTCTTGTGAAAACAACAATGATTAAATTTTAACACGTTCAAATTTCATTCTATGCGATTAAAAGATTAAACGTCTCGTCCGAGAGACGTTTAATAACGAGCATAACATTTGATTGGCAGTAAAGATCGTTCCATGATTTAACGATATCCTCTTGTTAATTTCCCCTTTTTTCTCCTAATTTCGACGCCGACTCGTATAAAAAAATGTACAAATACAATAGTTTGAGCAAGTCCGCGTCTTGGCAAGTGCCTGCGCGCGTATCCCTAATGATTAATCAACGATTGTTCGTCGGCGATTCTCATATACGTATACAGAGCAAATAGATCCTCTTTCTTTCTTTTTTTTTCTCATATTCGCTCTTTCACTCTCAGTGTCTTCTTCGTAAGTGGCAGTGAATCGCATTACCGCGTCATCCTTTCCGCATGCGTAGTCTTGTACTTCTTCACATTTTACGGAACTAATCGTGTAGATTAAAATACAAAGAGCAAAAAAAAAAAAACGATTTCAATAAAATAAATATCGCGACGCGTTTATCGTAAAGCGTGTTCTAAGCTATCGAATCACAAAAAGTTTAATTAAAGATTACGACGATAACGAAGAACCCGATCGTCAAACACGGGCGGCAACCAATTAGTCAAATGCGCGAACACGAAAATGGAAACCGTCGCACGACGATGTCGCGAGCTTCTCTCGTTTTTTTCTTTTTACTCAATTTTTCATTTCACGCTTATTCTTCTCCCGACAGTCTTCCCTCGATTCTTCTCACCAATACCCGAGAGCTATACGGATACAAACGTGGTCGCCGTTGCGTATTTACAAGGCGGGGAGGGGGAGAATCCACGGCGACCACTCCACGATTTCTAGAAGTAGCGAGCTAACGAGATTTTCCTTTTTGTACAAACGGCGCTAACTAACTTGCGGCTCACGAGGTGCAAGCCACATTCTCGGAATTGCTTCTCGAACGCGAGGGGTCCCTCCCTCCTCTTCTCGCCGGGGTTCGACTCGAGAGGCTGTCACGATAGTCGTCACGAATTGATAAAACGTTCCTCTTTAACGGTTTTGAACTCACTTTGTGTTTCAGACAGAGTTATCACCTAACGCCTATAACAGCCACCGAGTCGATCGCGGCTCGTTTAGAGTAGCTCTCAGGTACACGGATAATGCTTATCGTAAGAAGAAGTGTCTTGTCGCATTTCATCAACTAAAACACAGAATTCGCACTGCCCGGGCTGTCATTGCGACAGCGTACCCAGGAAGTCCAAGTATCTGTGCTGCATGTAACCTCAGGAGGACTGCGCATTGTTCGTTGTAGACAACGCCGTTGAAGCAGAAGTCGATGGTGACGTGTGCAGAGTGAAACCATCATAAACGTCCATGAGTTCGTGCATGCTGTATTCTTCCAAGCAGACAATTCCTTCCAAGGATGGCGATTGTTTCCTTGCACACTCCATACAATGAACAACATGCCGTTTCTCCTGCTCCCGGATAAATAAAATGTTGAACACTTCGATCTGCAAGAAAGAACAGTGAATTTTTATTGTTGTAACTGTGTAGTAAATAAAATAAAGAAGATCGAATCGCTCATACCTCACACTGTCCGCAATAATGAGAAGCCTCGTTCTTGCCACGACCGTGGAAGCGCACCTCCACACCCTTGCTCTTCACAAAGTCCAATATAAGACAGCATTGTCGCATAGTTCTCAACAGGCAATTTTTGATCAGCTCAAACAGACGCGGGTCCGACACCTTAATGTTGCGAGCTAAATTCCACGATAGATGCACCATCGGCACGATGGACTTGAACGATTGTAGCTTGTTCCACTCGTAGCGCTCGATGGCGAGCTGATATTGTCTCGCTGTGAGAGGGCCGACGTTCCACGCGATGTTGTTGCACCAGCCGACCGCTTGCACCCAGTGCACACATCCTGCGTTCACCCAGACCAAGTCACCCGGTCGTTGTACGAACCTGTATAATGGAATATTCTCCTCGTACAAATCTTCCAGAGATGGCCACCAGCTGCCGTGTAGGTAATTGATGCCGTTGCGCTCACATAACGAGCATATGACGCCCCAGTAAGCATCAGGCACGGCGAACCATTCGCAATCTCCCGGTCCGATATTGATATTGATGGAACAGAAGTTATTGTTCTCCTGGTGGCCAGGTGTTCTGCTGCCAGGTACCTGAGCGAAATAATTAGATCACGCTTGTGATATACATCTCGAGGTAAAACAAATTTTGGTTAAATTTGGTTAAATTTTTTTTATTCCCTCTCTAAGAGAGAGAGGGAACGATACTTTTGAATAGTTTTAAACGGCATTATTATACAAACAATGATGAAAATTCCATTACCTTCATATATAACTGTACGGTATTCATTCCTAAGATCACGTGGCCCACATGACTGAGCATATTGCCAGCCGATATGACTCTAGCGAAGGCGGGTAGTTTCATCAGTTCTTGCAGTTGCGGTTTCCATTTCCTGTCGTCCGATAGATCAACATTCGTGCCAAAACGCAACATCTTTGAACCTTGTCGGCCGGCCAGACCGACGGTGTTCTTCTTCCGTTTTGTAACTTGACCCGTGCTATCCTTCGAGTCGGAATCGGACAGGTTGGATGTATGTACACCTTGCGACTTCTCGCGCTCTTCCTTCAAACTCTCTTGAAAACTACTGGCCTGATACTGTGCGTATTTTGCAATAGTGGTGTGACTGCGATGGCTGATGCAGTTCCATACTTTCTTGGTGAACTGCTGATCCCAGTTCTCATCACTTGGCTGCTGCATTTGCGTACGAACCTCAATACCGTGGTCTGGATTCGCTTCCACCAGCGTTTTGGTCGAGAACAGACCTAAATCCAGCTTAAGTGCAGCAGCGAGTCCACGTACCACGGCGATTGGGTGCTTTAGACAAAATTCTTGTAGCTGCGGACTGAATGCACACTTCTTGTTCTCCAGATAAACGCTGGGTGTGGGTGGTAACAATTGCTCCTTCGTCAATCGTTGACTCGGCGGGTCCGGAGGGGCTGGTGGCGGCGAACGGTCACTCAATATCGAGCAATTTGGCACGCCATTCACCCCCTGACCACGACACGCTTCCACGATCGTCTTGGCGTCCATATCAATGTTCAGCTCCAATTCCGGCTGCGATTCGCACAAACTCTCGAGCTTTAACACCGGCTCCATTTTCGGAGTCGACTCGCCGGTTTTGTTCGCGCTCATAGTCTGTTCGCATTTCACCGTTTCCGTCGACGGCGTCGACGGTGGTCGCGGTGCCGGAAGCGTTGGCGGCTTTATGTCATTTGTTTCGTACGCCTCGGCCGCTTTCGACGGCTCCTCACTTTTCTCCACCTTCACGACTTCCTTTGTCTTATCCGCATTTTCCTCAAGATTTGATGGGGAGAAAGGTCCTTTCGAGAAAAAATTGTTTTGTTACGAGAATATAGTGTGTGATTTCGCCGATAAAAAAATTTTTCTTACAAGAAATTTAAAAAATGAGAAATTATTAACTGTTTAAGAAATCAGTTTAGTTATTTTTTTATTCATCCATACCAGAACTGAGAGCACCATTGTTGTTCATAATGCTAGTTGGCGGTTCCTCTTTTACGTCTAAATCCTCTGAGCCAAAGTGCTTGAGCAGGTCCTCCGCCAGCGATGTAGCGATATCCTTCTGGGATAGCAGCGCTTGCAGCTCCTGGTCTGTGACGCCCAGGTCCTTGTTCGCCGCTGAACCCTCTGGATAACTACTCGTCGTCGATGAAATCTGCGAATAACCCTGAGCGGCGAATTGACTCTGCTGATACTGGCTGTACTGTGCGCTACCGCCAATTTGCCGTTGAGGCTGAGGTTGAGGATAATTTGGATCCGATGCGGATTTGTAAGGCATGCCTGGTGTCTGCGTGTTCCCGGTTGCTGCCGCGCTGTAGCCAACGTTAGAATCAGAGAAGCCCGTTTGCAACGCGACAGTACCTCCTTGCTGCAACTGTAAACCCAAACAAAATGAATTTCGATATATTTCATTTCGATGAAGACGAAATCGAGGTTTCAAGATACGCCAGACACTAATTAGAAGTCGTGAAAATTTTGCCCGCGTTGCTACAAAATAATAATAGACAATTTGATCAATTCTAAACATTCTCTGGGTATCTGAGAAAGATATTGCGCGCTTGGCATTTTAAAAAAGCAAATATATACTTGAACAAGATACTATTAAAGAGCCGCGTAGATTCTGCTTAAAGTCCCGTCACTATAAATTATCCTCGATACGTTCGGAGATAATCGCTAGATGTCGACTGACGAAACAACGATTCTCTACCATCTGATGTAAAAATCGAAACGCTTAGCCCGCGGTTAACAACATCGCGCAATCATTGCTCATCGCGATGTCTCGTAAGATACGTTAATAACGTAAACGTCATACCGGTTGCTGTGGTATCCCATAGTTCTTAATAATGCCGGCTTGGCCGCTGATTTGAGGATGGCCGTAACCGGCGGGATAACCGGGCTGGCCGGGCCTGAGGCCCCGTTGCGCCGCTTGTTGCTGTTGCAGCCTGATCTGCTGCTGATGTTGCTGCATCGTCCGATACTGGTGTTGCAGCTGGGCCAACAAGATCTGCTGCTGCGACGTCAATTGACTATGATTCTGTTGCAGGAAATGTAGCGTCTGCAGCTGCTGCGGAGACATATAAAACGGCGGCGGCCGTTGCGGCGCGCTCGCCGATATCGCTTCCTCGCCAGGCTACGTTAAAACAGAAAAAAACGTTAAAGCTGCAATTAAAAGTAGTTTTTCGTACAGATAAAAAATCAACGGTCTTTGTTATATTCTCTATCCTGTATACAAATCCGAAAATCAAAATGTAGACAAATCAATCTCAAGAGTGACCTTTCATGTTTACTCGTTCAAATCGCGATGATTAATGTACTCTGTTCCTTAATGTTTTGATGAAACAGAAAATAGAATCAATAAAAAATACCTTTAAAATATGCAATTTCATAATCGAGAATTATCTCGCAACTTTTCGAGAAATCAAGAGTCAAGACAAGAGTATCAAGAGTCACAGCGTAATCCTTGCGGTCACGTACTCAATAGCGACAGTCGCGACAGTTACAATACGTAATTGCGTATTGCGTGGTTCGCAGTCAGTTTGTCTTTGGCTAAATCGAACATTTTCAACGAGATCGTATATTTATATAGTGATTGACATAGAAAAAGAGAGAGGAAGTAGGGAGGTGAGGGGTGGTTGTTAGGGAAAAGGGTGGGAGGGGAAATTTGTTGGTCCGTCGGGTTCTGGAAGCCGGGAGGACGGATCGCCAGATTGGACTGATCTTTTGTCCGTTGTCTGTTGAGATTGTTAGGATGCTTTTGAATTTCTAAACATTCCCTATATTGAGAGATCGTATATATTGAGATCAGTATATTACAAACTTACCTTGAATCGCTTGGTTTGAGACTGGGCCTGGGGATAAGGCGGTGGCGGGCCAGAAGGTGCAGTACCATACTTGTAGGAGGGCCCGCCCGGTGTTTGCTGTTGCTGCTGCTGCCGACTGGACATTTCCGCACTGATCGGCAAGTTCCAGGCCTCTTCAATCGGCGGCAACTGCCGTCTCCTGTTCGACACACAATATTATTATATCGTTAGAAACTCACGGCCTACCTGATACTGAATCGAGCGTCAGATGTGTCGAGAAACAAGGTCATGGACAACGAGAAACAATCGCGTCGCATTAAAAACTCACAAAGGCGGCGACAAATAAAGATGAAGCTTAGTTCTACGTTTCCATGTTTTCCCCGGACAAACAACATATCTTCCGCCACCTGTCCGACCTCGACGATTAATACCACACATCCCGTGTACAAGAAGCGCGCTTCGTCGGAGAATACTTTCTCGCGGGATAACGAGTGAATTCACAAAAGATCGCGCAACAAAACACGCATAATTCACGCGATGCACACTCACTTGGTAGCGATGGAAGGCATTGGTCCTTGACTTAGGTGATTCTGCAGAAAGTTGATGCGCTGTTGGAGGGACGGGTTCATCGGAGTATTGCCACCGGACTTGACGCCACCTAGGCCCGCCAATGGACCCGTACAATTTGCTGCGTTGTTGTTACCCCTACGTACGCAAGGAACAGAAAAAAGAGTTCTCGTCAGGAATCTGTGTCGATATATAGTTGACCAGGTGAGCTTTTGTGAGATCAATCATCAAACGTAAACCTGGTCTACAAACTTACGAATACATAGCTCGGCGATTGCTCTCGCACAATTTAATCAGCTATGTACTTAAGATGATTACTATGGAGCATAAAAGTGGTATATACATACACATTTCATGAGACATGGAAATGTACCGGGTGACAATCGAAGGTATCGGTGAGATTAATGACAAGGTGAGATAAAAATAAATGGTACAGTACGCACGCGCGGGCGGTATAATCGATGAAAGTACAAGCAGTGATTCGATGATTGCATTATTGTTATTTTTATCGTTTATTATCTTAATGGTTGGGGTACCGTCTATCCCATCCTATCTTTGCATATCGAAATTGTTCCAGCAATTATCGCCAGTAATTGTATTAACAGCGAAGCGATAATTTATTTAACGTATCAGAGCGGCTATTCGCCATCGGCTCGGATACAATGAGATTGTAATAACGTTTTATAACACATGATACACACACACACCATTCCGTGCGTGTTGTGCGCAATTCACGACTCACTGCTTTAAACTCGGGTGCAGTCTCGCGACATGCAATTTACCTGGATGCGTTGACGTAACAGGCCAGAGCGTCTTTCGGTTGGCTCACGCTTTCGTACAGTATGCCGAGATTAGTCCAAGCGGCTGAGTGTGACTTGTCTAGCTGAACCGCGCATATGTAGGCCTGTAACGCGTCCATCGGCTGGTTCTGCTGCTGGTAGAGGACTCCTATGCTGCACCACGTATCGGCGTTTCCTTCCGACTTCTCGACGGAATTTCTGTCGAATGCGCAAATCCATCTTTCAGTCACACCTTTGTTGCATTTTCCTTTCATTTTAAATGCCAACAATCTTAAGAGCAAGAGTGAAAACGATAGAATCAAATCTGACTGAAAAATCGCAACGAATTGTTTCAGTGACTCGGCAAATGTATCGAATCGATTTTAAAGATTTGCAAAGTCGAAGATATATTTCGAGACGCTCGCTCGAAACTAAAAGTCACGACAATTCAACGTAGACAATTTCTGTGTAAAGACTGAAACTTCCGTCGTTCGTCCGTAAGCAGGTAAAGCCTTTGACGCGACATACACCATTCGTCCCTTTTTTTCTACCGATGTTTCTAATTTTCCCTTTCTATCCATCGTTTTTGCCAAAACTCAGTTTGATTTACCGGGAAAATCTTCGAAGATCGACGCGCTTTCACGTTTTCAGGCGTAAACTGCCGATTAGTTTCGGCTCGTGTTGCAGATATTTATTGTTGAAATCGTTGACACGTATATGAGACGCTAACAGGCGTCTCGTGAAAACGTGTGTGAGAAATACTTTTCTTTCATGTAACAATAATACAGAATACAGCACAAGATACATTACCACTATTAACACATGGAAAGATTCCGTCGAATATCCTCTCAATAATAACTTCTAACCGCAAAACTGATAACGTCAATACGAACTTGCACATGCAGTGCAGATCAAATCGATATTTAACATCACTCGTCTAAAGGCATGAAGATCAAACGTCGCGCATAAATCTTTGGATTCTCACAGAATTTTTCTCTAATTCGTTCCACGACTGACGGGTTCAATGACAAACTTTCACGTTTCTAAAACATTGATTAGGAAAAGACGTGTACTCTCTTGATATTCTGAGAAAAATTATTTTGTTGATGTAAAATAAATGGAGATAGTATTTCGACAGTATTGTTCCAACGAGTAGTTGGAGCAGTACGTCTGTTCTTTTTGGAAGAACTTCCTGAACTGATGTGTACTGGTGTAATAAATTAGAATGAAACAAATATAGGTCAGTTCGGTAAACAATTTTACAATAGTGCAATAAGTTGAAGAAAGAGAGAGAGAGAGAGACACTTTCTTTCACTCTAACTCTCTTATTGCACTAGTGCAAAAGTTCAAAAGTTCTTCGAACAGACCTATTAATAAGAAATACAAGAAAATCTACTATTCCCAAAAGTCATTATTTCTCTCTGACGAAAGATACTGTCTTTTTGACGATGAAATACAATCGACACAAGAGGCTGGTGCTTTTTTGCTTGAATAACTTTATAAAACGTGACTTAGCAACACGTGATTATTTTCGAGCGACGGAATCACACGTGCTGGGATCGATAACGTTGTCGCACGGCGACACGACTCGAGATGACTTTACATCGAGCTGCTATTTATGCACATGTGAACGAGATAGGTAAGATCGCGATTCGCATTACCTGTACGCGACGAATGCATCGTGCACTTTCCCGGACGCTGCCAGACAACGTCCTAACAGATACAGGCTCTGTCCGCTCTTCGGCTCAGCTTCGATAGACTTCTGCAGGCAGTGGATAGCTAAGGTTTGCTTCTGCTGTCTCGTTATTCCCAGTATTGCACAGTCAACCACATGGTACATCCATCCTGCAACAAGGGACACACGATTGTTCCTTTCCACGTACAACTACCTCCGCGCTCAACGTCGAACTGGAATAGATCCTTGCAGGTATAGTCTAGGGTAGGTATACGCACGCTTTTTCTTTCTCTCTCTTCCTCTCTCTATCACTCTCTTCCTACCTCTCTTTTTCTCTTCTAGTCCGGCTGCTGTTCCCCTACTTTAGAAGCTATTCTCGAATTACAACCCTCTAAATACATAGGCGTAGCGAGCGGCAGACAAACTGTTTCGCGCAGTGTATTATGCGAAATATAAATTTAAATCGGAAATTAAAAATAAGAGAGTACATGTTCAGGATGTACGAATGTTTCATTCTATTGCTAAATTCGAATCTTCTCTAAAGAGATTTCTCCACTTCCTGATAGCTGACTCAAGATGCAGGATTTTCTAATAATGCTGTCTCTAAAACATCAGTGTATAGTATTATAACTCTGATGTAAAATATGATATGTAAAAGATGCATTTAATTATATACTCGCGCGCGGGAGATAAGAATGTAAATTTGCGATTGCTGCTGCTTTCCGTAGTTTCGCAACGCGTGTTTCTTTACCTGTTGATAGCCCCATGATTTAATCGTCGTGGGAAAAGCGAGGCATCGCAAGAAAGTGTCCACAGCGACGCTGAAGCGCGAGCGAACACGTGACGTTTCGACATGAGGAGGGAAAACCGGTCTGATTAATTAATTCGCTGCCATTCTCTCGATCAATTTACGCTCCGATATTAATTACGGTTTAATTATTAATTATCACAGTTAAATACACGATAAAATTAACGTTGCAATAATAATCGATATTCGCAACATTCGCGGAATGACATCATCAGCACGCATGGATTTAAAACTGAATAAACAATTTGAAACATTTTTATATCGCGCTTCTTTTGCGCATGCGAAATAGTGTCGGTGTATGTGTGTATATATGTGAGACAAAATGAGAGAGAGAAAGAGAGATATATATACACATACATATACATATATATATATATATATATATATATATATATATTTATTTATTTATATACATATTTATGTTATAAAATTAAATAATATAAAGGAAATATACACTGAGAAAAATATCTGAACATTTATTGTAATTGTATGATATATATTATTTCGAATAAAAAACAAACAATTTTCATTCATAAAATGATTGAAATTGAACATATGAGCGGACAAGGTAAAGTTGGCTCATAATTAAAGACCGGCAGGAGGGCTGTGGAGACCCCGGAACTACAAATCAGGGATTCATAGGCAACTAAACCCAGTACTAAAATCCAATACTAAAGATCATCATGTTGCTGTATGTTAATATTTTGGTTATTACAAAACAAGATATACGGTCAACAGGATCGTGGAAAGCATCAACACATCTAGCTCTGCGAGTCCTTCTATTTTTTTCTCAGTGTAATTTGGAATACGCCCCTATATATGTACCCCCATAATCAAATGTATAAAAAATCTATTGCGTATCACGTTAGACTCTCCCGCATTGCTTCTGCACATCACGAAATCTCACGCGCGTGTTAATTGCATGTTCGGTAATGAACGAGGGGTGGCGCCGATGATCGACGTTTTACTCGGCCTTCACCGTTCATTATTCGGCAGACGATGCGCGTCGAGAGCATCCTTCGCCGTTCCTCCTTGAAAAGATATAAAAAAGGAAGGTAGAGGAAGGTGACGACAAAGTTCCCGAAGAAAGGAAGGTAGAGAGAGAGAGGCAACGATCCTTTTTTCCACAGGACCGGTCGCGAATCCGAGGTACCGACACGCGAGCAGCCGTAAACAGGTTGTAAGGAAGTCCTGTACCGTTTTCGCGGCCCCGTGTGTTGCAGCACAAGCGAGCAGTGCATTCGTGAGCCGAGCCACCGATGTGCCGCCACCATCTCGGGACGAGACGCAGTTTCGTAAAATGCACCCTCCGGGCAAAACGCGAAACTTTCCCCGAAACGATTCGTTACCAACGAACAAAACTCTCGTACACACACACACACACGCACACACGATTATGGAAATAATAACTTACAGAGATACAGAACTAGGTTTCAGCCTCTCTTTCTACTTCTTTCTTTCGCGAATTTTTCTCGCCAATTACAAGTACGCGCAGATAAGGATGTTAAAATAGAAAATATAAGTCATAATCATTGAATCGTGCTATCGTGCGAATCTTCACGCTTTTTAACTCATAAAGCGAAGGGAGAATATCATATCCCCGGAGGCGCTTAAAAGTTTGACCACGCTCTCTTTCTGACAGACCGGAGTGAAAAAGGGAGAGGGTCGAAAGCGTATTCCCGCTGCACCCCGCGATAATCCGCCATGGTCTACGTACTTTGGCATCGACAAGGAAGGGGGAGAACGAGGAAGAAGGACAGAGGGGAAATAGGAGAGCAGGTGCGAGAGAAACAGCTAAGGATAGTTCCCACAACGTCGCTCTCTCTTTCTCTATCCACCCCATTCACACAGCCGTTTTCTTTCCCTCTCTGTTCCTCGTTCATTCACTCCCTCTCTACCCGCGATACCCTTCTCATTCGCTCTCTCTTTCTTTCACTCTCTCTCTCCGTCTCATCCTCGGTCCACCCTAACCCGGAATAAATCAATACACGTGTCTGCTACTTGGCGTGCACCCGGCCCGAGTGCCTTAAGCCAAATCCGAGAGAGAGAGAGAGAGAGAGAGAGAGAGAGAGAGAGAGAGAGAGAGAGTAGAGAGAGACAGAGGAAGAGAGAGAGACACAGAGGAAGAGAGAGAAATTAAAAATTCGAGGGAAAAAACACCCTTTCCATGGAGCAACCAGTGCGCGAGGGTGACGCGTATATTTTTTTTCACTTGCGAGAAAGCGGGTGCGTGAAATCGCGAGAGTCGGAGAAACGTTCACTCGAGATGGTAGAAGCATCATGTTGTCACACCTACGCGCGCATAATGAAATTTTTTACTATCGCCATTGGTCTTTCCTGCGACTTTTCTTTCTCAAACGGTAAGAAACGTCTCGCGATTTTTCTCAGCGTGTCCCTTGCGGGTGTTCTCGGTCGGAATAAGATAAATCTATCTATCGATCTAATGAATTTATCTGCTTGACAGGAACGCTTGCGGGATCGCGCCGATACAGAAACGCAGGTGAAACGTTCCGGAGACTCAGAGACTTACCTAGTTGACGGCAAATGTCGGCCTTTAAATGCGACGGTAAAGCCTTCTCCTTCAGCAAGGCCTCGTAGTGCTCCTTGGCCAAGCGATATTTGCCCTGAACCTCGTGCAAATGAGCGATATGGAATTTGACTGTAAGCAGAAATAATCTCTGTCGCACAATCATATAATAATGTGAAAGAAAGATCAATCGTGACCTTTCTGCACAGAACTTTAAAAACAAAAACCGAGAAAGAATAAACGCTTACGAAAACGTCCCTATATCTATCAGAAAATAGCATACATTGAGAGAAAAATTATTTTCAGCGCAAACCGCATCTTCTTGTTTTAACGAACAAGCAATACTAATAATATGCATACATGGCAAAATAAAATTAATGAAATACTGGTGAAATTTAATAATAACGTACCAGAATTTCGCTTGACGTTACCAGAATTCAAGTTAATAAAAATCTCACAGGTTTTTATAAAAAGAGAGAGAAAACAGCGTTAGAAGTGCATTTCGACGGATTTATTGGAAAATTTATAACGGCGGCACGAAAATTCGTGCGTTTAACGTGCAAATATCATTACGCTGTCTGTCTCTTTTAACAAACATAATTTTCGAAATAAATTGCTGAAAGCGTTTACCTCTCTCTTTCTCTCGCTACAACTCGGTGCATGATGAATCGAGCCGGCGAACGAATTTACCGACGCAGCAGCGCGAGAGAGATGACGGGGAGGGATCAGAGGCGTTTATGAAGTTGATTCCAATTATCAAGCCATCGGGGCGCGATGAACACGTGCGCGAGACTGGCGCGCGTGCGACGCGACTCGCGCTATTTAAAAGCGGCACGCCACCACTTCTCCACAGCGGGAATTTTATTTCCGCGCGCTTGAAATTCCTGGTACCACGACGAGAAATGACTCGCCTGAGCGGCTACGAATAATCATTCCAGGCCGACAATTTGAAGTCATGAATCAGCGATGTCATCGTCATTCGTGTGATTCATCGGCGGGAAAGACGATACCACCCCACCTTTGACATCCAGCTATGAATTTGTTCAACACGCGCGCGCGCGCTAAATTTCGCGTACGGGGTGACGCGCATATACTTTTCTAGGGTTTCGCGGGCTGTTGTTACACAAAGGCTCTATATCTCGCACTCAGCTGTACAAGAGGTGAAGTGAAGGCGAGCTTACTTACTTTCGAGCTTGGAGAAGGAAGCAGGTGTTGTGGCATCGATCAAGGCGAGGGTCAGGTGTTTCAAGGCGGCGTCGAAGTCAGCGTGGACCTTCAGCATCAAGCCGAGCCGTAGGTGAACTTCGCAGGCCCGTGGGAATCCTGGTTCTACCCATAGCAACTGCTGAAACGCTTTCACGGCCCTAAAACACAGACGCGACACGAGAAACGTTATTTTCTTCTTTATTTTCAACGTGGAAAACTTTGGAAAATTCCAATCTCAGGTGCAATCAGTTAGATTATAATTTTTCTTTGAGCTTCAAAGCGTCCAACGAATCGCTTCCTCAGTTGGAATGAGCGAATCTGCGCATGCACTGAAAGAACAAAAATATTTAAGAAATATTTATTCAGTGAATACATGCTAATAACATATTTACTTGTACCAATATAAAATATTTTCTCAAATAAGAACATTTTCTTGAGATCTAAAGGAAGCCGTCGGCTTCTCATAAAAGCAATTGTTTATGCTACCCAAATGAAAGAATTTAAATTTAAGTAAATACGATATGAGTACACCCGCCAAAGAAATATTTTTTTATTTCCTTTTAGATATTTTTCCCTCTCAGTGCACCTTGAGGAAAATTGATCACGCCAACATCTCAGCAACATCTAAATAGTTATTATTGTAATGCAATTACATATTAATATGCAATTGCATATTGATATGCGTACTATAATTACCTAATATTATTATCATATCATAGCTATTAGCGACTATATTATAATTGTATAGCGCGACCTAAATTTTCACGACGGGCAGAGGTCGGTGAGAATCCGGCATCGATTTGTTCTGAGTGGAAAACGTGTCAGGTCAGCGCGCTGCGAGCGACTGAAGAAAAGAGAGAGGTCTTTTTGCTTAAACCGGCAAACGAATTGCGATATCGTGTTGTTCGATTAATTTCAAACGGATTTTGATAGAATTTTAATTTTAGACCTGCCTGCGGTGGGATAATGTTGAAAACGGAAGAGCCGCGATGACCCTCTCTCTATATGAATCTTCCCGCGCTGACCATTCGGCTAACGGGAAATCGATTGCGGCATTAATCCGAGAATCTCGTTAATCTCTTATTATTTTGTAATTAGGATGCCGCGCTGATAAAGCGACAAGTGTTCCGTTGCTTTCCGTGGTTGGTAACCCAAGTAGCAAAGTAACGTCAGAGGACGTCAAATTAACGTTGAATTGACGGCGATATGACGTTAATGTGACACGTTCTCCGACGTTACTTTGTTACTTGGGAATCGGGCGCGAGTCCGGAACATGCAGATGGATAAAAATAAGATCCTTATCGAATAAGGCCCAGTATTAGTAGTTATTGCTTGAAACTCGTCTCAAGTGAGATATTCAGATTAGAATTCAGAGTTAGATGAGAGTTTTTCAGTTGAATCGCGATTACAAATATCACATCTATTATAATCAAACTAAAAAACTTGTATTTAACTCTGAATAAAATGCTGAGTATTTGACAAGTTTCAAGTAACAATTATTGACTCTTTGTACTCGAGAAGCGACCCTCAGTCGTCACTTGGTTTGATGCAGCAACTCGAATGGCGAGTGAGAGACGACAAGAATTGTTTATATTTGATAGCCTCGATCGCGATATCGACATGTGTGGATATCGGGGCGGATTGTATATTCAATATTAAGTTTTGTATAGTGTAAAAATACATGAAATATGTATATGAAACATGTATATGTATATTTATTTTTATGTTAGCTGTAAAAGATTTCATCAACTTTTTATCAAAAAAAACAACTTCGGGTTTAGAATTCGCGCTGGTGGTCAGGTAATAGTCGACGGTTTCTGTTTGTCTACCAGCGTGAGTTCTGATCGGCTCTTTTTGCTTTTTGCCAAAGTGTGAATTCTTCCTGAATTGCGGCTGGTTTTTCGCCGCCTGTCGATACATCGCGATCGTCGTGGCGGCAACGACGCGGTGAAACAAAACGAAATCGTTGCCGCCGCGGCGTTGCTTCGCGTTGCATCGTCCCGCATTCTCGTAACCTTACTTGCGCTCCGTCGTGTGCACGCGATGCGAAAGGTGCACGCCGGAAGTGGTTAGTGTAGAGCCCTGTCACGCGACATGCGGCACCGTCGTGCCATGAAAAAGACATACGGACCGCGCCGATGACGATGCGCATAACAATAACGATTGTTATAAATGACACACACGCGGCCCGAGCCGCGTCGGTGAATGCGATGCAATCGATACGGGCCAATCGATCTTGCGGACGGACGGGAAACCGGAAGCGAACAATACCGCGCGAGGGAAACATGCCCGCGGCGTGTGGCGCACGTTAGAGACAAAACAATGGACAAAACCCAAGAGAGAGCTTGCGGGCTGGCCGAAATTCGGATTCAGATAATATTTGTATTTTGTCGACGGGTGGCGCTGAGATAACCAGTCAATTGTTCTTTGTCTCATGTGCGTATTTCTGTTACATGTCGGATTATTAATAGCTGTCTTAAGGTGGAAGAAAAATGCCTTCGAGAGCACACGTTGCCCCCTCCAAAGAGAAACTAACGGGAAAGATCGGTGAAATACGCGTGGATTACCGAGCTAACGACTGTAACGTCAGATTAAACGCGAGATAGACCACCTTCAAGTCTGCATTATATGTGCCTTGAAATATTTTTGAATCTTCACATTACAGACACAAAACTAGCACGTGTAAGTGAAATTAGTCGAGTGGAAAACTAAGAACTGAATGCTAGATACACTGAGAAACAAATGTTTGATAATTGTAACTATAATTGTATAGAGAAATAATTGTTATAAATTATAATCAAGAAAAAACAATTTTTTAAATTAAATTCTACTTAATATTTTAGTAATAAAGACTTGGTTGGATGGCGTGCAAGTGAGTGAATGTCTGATTAACATGGTACGTGAATTTTAAATGATTTTAGTATATTGAATTAAGTATGGGAAATCAGATAGAAGTAATTATAAGTAGGAATAAGTACGTAGACAGTGTGTAAGTGAAGACGAAACAAAACATTAGGAAAGCAAGATTCAGGGCGGGAAAAATGCATAAGTAATAGAAGTTATGGCGTCATAAGGAATAGATAGTTAGAATAATGTAGATAATGTTTAAATTAGTATGATAATACAGAGGAAAGTATCGACAAAGGAAATATGTATTAAGCGGTAATAGAAGATGGAAATATAAAAAAGATAGAGGAAAAAGATAAAAGAAATTAAGAGGAAAAGTTTGGCCATCGGATAAGATAAGAAAATAAAATAAGATAAAGATATGTAAAGAAGAAGAAAAGGATACAGAGAACTGGGAGATATGTGCTGTGCAAATAAAAAGATTGAAGTGCAAAGAATAAAAGGAAAATTATAGAATATAGAAAACTCGTTAGTGATGTAAGCTGAAGGAGACAGAAAGTGAAGGAAAATGTAGAGAAATTACTTCATGAAGTTAGTAGTGAGTGATAGAATGAAGTAATGAAACTAACAGGATATGGAAGAAAATTGGAGGAAAAGAGAGAAGATGAAGAGAAAACAAGGAAAACAGTGAAGAAAAAAATAGCCGAGAAGCAGCGAGAATCGCCTGGAAAATGCAAATAATTCCAAGAGCTGATATAGACGAAACGTGGGACACGCTGAGGAGCGAGTCCTTTACACGAGGAAAAACGCGCCGCCGACTTGATTTTCCTCGGGGAAACACAGGGAGGAGCGCGCGCGAATGGGAAAATATGGATTGCAGGAAAACGTAAGCCGCACAGACGGCGTGCTGTTCGATCGCTACTTTATTCAGAGTGTCGTTGGCCACGAGTCAATGTCAGTCGAGCGTCGAGCCAACCGCGACCGACCGACCGACCGACCGACCGACCGACCGACGCGACGCGACACGACGCTATGCTATGCGCGATGCCACGGAGCGAGGCGAGGCGAGGTGACAGCATCGTCGTCGTCGTCGTCGTCGTCGTCGTCGAAGATGTCATTTTCGTTCCCGTTTATACAGCACGAAAGACAGCCGAACGCGGCGAACAGACGTGCGACTTCCACAGTGCGTCGGTTATGTATGTATGTATATATATATATGTATACTTGACGCGTTAGTGTACGCGACACACTTTTCAGCGGGTTACGGCACACTTTTCCTATCTCGAGCGCGGTTACGAAACCAGCGACGTAACTCGTGTAGTTCGTAGCGCTCGCCGCCCGCGCGCACGCTTTACGATTATCTCCGTAGTGTAACGCCGTTTACCGTTGTCTCTCGACAAAAGCCGCGCCTTTCACCGAATGCAAGCTATATTTCCGTCGGAATACGTGTGCCGCGGCGTATTCGATCTGGAGCGCGACTTTGGAGGAACACGGAAAGAAATTAATCTTCAAGCGCGCATTCACGTACGCACGTATGAACAATTATTATGTATTTTTCTCTTCCTCTCTCAATCAACGAATCGAATATTAGATTGCCTATTCCTGCATGAGTATCACGCTTATGTATTAGTTTATATATAATTCAATAATTTATTTATCGTAGAAATATATATTGCATTATATTTCTATAGAATACCGCGATTTTTGCAGAAATTTACTGTTTTGCAAAAATTTTTGCAACAACAGCGTCTGATTAGACAATTTCACACACAATGCCACCGACATTCCCACAAGACGCAAATCTCTTTGTGACTTGCAAATATCGTCAATAGATCATCAATGGATTATCCATCTTTTGAAAGCATGAAGTTTGATCGAAGGAGATTGGTTTGTCTGCCGTGACGCTCGTGACGCATCGAGGAATAAGCGGCGATTTAACGAGAAGGAGTAGTAAAAACGAAGGGAAAAAACGGCCACCGACGTCGTCTTCGTCGTCATAGTATAGTCGTCATCCACGCGGAATGAGAGAGAGAGAGAGAGAGAGAGAGAGAGAGAGAGAGGAGAGAGCAGTAGTAAATTCATTCATAAGAAGCCCATTCATCGCTTCATTCACTCGCGTTTCCTTTCGGGGTTCGTTGTCTTCGGCAATGAGTCACTACTCCCCGCGACGCGCGCGCCGGGCGTGTAGCAGAAAGAGAAATGTCAGTGACTCGCTCGTTTCTTGCGAAACGAGCGCTTGCTATAATCGACTACGCGAGCGTCAAATAGAGGGAGAAAGAAAGAGAAAGGGGGAGGGGGGAGGAGATATAAC